TTTACTCAGAATTGCAAAGTATTGTGAAGTACAAAAAGTTAGTATTGTGAGATATAAAATGTAAATGTAATGTAAAAAAATATTTTAAAAAATGGGTTTTGTTTATTTATCTGTAGATTTGACTTTTTAATTTTATTTTAAAGTTAATTCAATGTAACCTAATTCAGTAATGTACAGATGTTACTGTTATTTAATTTTGTACAATTTTGTTTTAATTTGAAAACATTGTTCATTTCTAGTTGTTGCTAGTTATTGTTGCTTGATATTTCTCATCCAAAAGACAGTGCTCACTGAGCAGTACAGAGTCCCCATCAATATATACTGGGGTGTTAGGAGCCACACAGACTGCAGGTTGAGGGCCCTCTGCTGGTCTCACTAATGGCCCATTTCCATTGAGTGGTACGGTATGGTACAGTTAGGGTCGATATGTTTTTATGGCTGTTTCCACTGTAAAAAAGGTTCCAAAAAGCAAACCGCACCATACCACTTTTTCGGTACCCTTTCAGGAAGGGTATCTAGCACAACAAAAGGGTACCAGAAGTTGGAGCAAGACGTGCAGCTGACTGCTATTGGTTTACAGAGAAGCATCACTAAAGCTCATGCACAAGGCAGGAGAATAAAAACAAAGGAAGTGTCATTTTTAAGTACGCAGCCGAGACATTAATAACAAGCCATGGTCGACCCCAGCTTAAACAAACCTTGTCATCGTCTTGATGAACAGCCACAAAGCCAAGAAGAAGAGCAGAATCTACCTTGTGCCCCATAGTTGTATAAAGCACGAGCGGTTTTGCTTTTTTGTAATTGCTCACCGCGTGTCTATTTAAAACAAGAAACTTCTTGAGCTGATGATAATGTGTACATGACTATTGAAGTGCTTCTAACATCCAATCCTTTCAGAAACGAACAAACACAAGAGTGGCGTGCGAAAAAAAACAAAGGAACAAATTACTTTTTTCAGCCACCTAAATACATGAAGAAACTGCCATGTTTATCATCACCTTTTGGATTATTATGAATTCGGAGTGACGAAATTACTTTCTAACAAGAGGTTACATGTGCTGGTGGAGATTAAAGATGAGACGAGAGGTTTGCACTGACAGTGACTATATGTTGTGTGTTGTTTTTGAACCCAAATAAGGACTAAATGTATGCTGTGTGTAGTTGTACCGTAATTGATAACATATCGGAGGCTGTAAGGGACTGTATGTGTTCATATCTCTTGCATTTATTTATTTTATATAATTGTAGATGTTACAGTAGGCTATTTTGTCATCATTGATTTGCAGTTAAAATCCAGTCATGTTTATAGAAAGGTTAGTAATGAACATTTATACACAAGTATTTATGTGTATAATGCATCTGTTTTGTGAGAAGTGCTTCTCATATTATGTGAACGACCAGTACAGCTTTACTTTGACATTTTCTCGAGCAAGAATGACAACGAGTGAAACTTTCTGCCGTACACCACGCCCACCAAAACCATTGGTATCCTTTTGGTAGTGGAAACGCAAGCCTGATAAAGATGGCCCGTATCGAACCGTACTGGACCAATCAATGGAAACAAGCCATAACACCACTTTCGGCAGCAGCATAGCTTTCCCATGTGGTCTACCATTCAGGTACTGACCGGGCACAGCCCTGCTTAGCTTCAGTGAGCGACCGTGTGAGAGTTGAAGAGAGCTAGCTGCCAGCAAAAATATGAACATTTATTTCACTCAGTGGAGTTTCTGTGCAAGCCTGCTGATCCTGACAGCGTGTGCGTGTAAACGGCTTTTTCATCTCGTTTTACACTTGAACAACTAAATGAAATAATTATATTTTAATTACATTACAACATCGATTCTAAAAAAGGAACAGAAGAAAATTGAAAAAAAGTAATGAACTATTCACCATTCAAGTTTTCGGTAGGGGAAAAAAACACTAGCTGTGCATGTACCCTATTTTACGATGAGTTGCACAATTTTGAATCAAAAATGTGGAACTGTAGAAGAATGAAAAAGCTATTACCTTTTATTTATCTATTTTGTAGAGTAAATGAGCTTCCAAGTGTAGCTGTGATTTACACCTTACATTTTACCCCACAAAAAAATTGAAAAATAAAAATAATTATTTCAAATTTCTCTCACAATTATGACATTAGTCTTGAAATTGGGAGTTTAAATGTCCCACACAAACCAAACTTTAGATTGAGGAAACTGGTTTCAGTTCAGCATTGAATAGAGCATTACTATACTACCTGTAATTTGACTCCACAAGCAAATGAAGCTTCTGGGTTCACATAAAAAAGCACAAAAAACAAAGCCATGCATAGTGTTCACAAAGACAAAAGCATGTTCTCCAATATCTCAGCTATTGTGTTCATCATGTCATAAATCCAATTAAAACTTGGCTGTAGACTCAAAGATGAACACAAAAGCAGAAAAACAGGATTCATTAAACATTCTTTTAGCAGACAAGCTATCTTGTGTACTTGGCTCACAGGTTGTTTCTTTTGGCAGCGTCCACAAGTCCTTATTTCACCTAATGACTTCCTTAGTTTTGCTCCGTTTTTTCCCCCATGCATGCAGTTTCTTAAATGTGCATCACCATGAGGGCCCGATCTGAGATGCTTTGCTTTTGCTGAGCCAGCAGAACAACAGAAAGTCGTATTTCTCTCTCTCTCTTTCTTTCTCTCTCTCTCTTTCTTTCTTCTTATGCTCCACACTCCTTTTTCAACATCTGGCTGGGGTACACAAGCCTCTGAGTTTTTGTTTTGTGTGCCCATAGTGGCCCTGTGTTGTGTTTTTTTTTTTATTATTATTATTATTTTTGCCAATTAAGTGGACAGAAGTACAATCTGAAAGTTAATTCATTCAAACTCCAGGCAACATTCTCCTCCGTCACTGATGCATTCCAGAGATTTTGACGCATGTCGGCTTGTATCCAACAGGAAATATTTTGATATAAAAAACCCAAAAAGAGGAAATCTGCCGTCCCCGCACTAATCCAATATGAGGAACTAATCATGAGTGAATATCTAAGTGAAATATGTGGAATGAAGATCTGTTATCCAATGTGGAAAAACTCTATTTTTTTGTCACCGTTTGGATGATAAAGGCATTACTGTCTTGTCTTGAATATTTTGATTTGAAGTAAATAGGCTACTTTAAAAATAAGAAATCGGTCTTGATTACACTAATGTTTAACTAGGCATGGGCCGGTATAAGATTCTGACGGTATGATAACCTTGGATAAATATATTTACGGTTTCACGGTATTGTGATTACTGCTCTAAAATAAGTTATTTTTGCATGTCTGGGTGAAAAAAAAATCCAATTTGGACTCAATAAATTTTATTTTGAGAAACATTTAAATATTTTGAGCAGTAAACATGTCAGGCTACATAATTCAAGTGAATCATTGACTTTTGCTGTCTTCATAAGTTTCAGAAACACAGATTCTTTACAATTTCTTTACAATTTACATTTCTTTTCGATTTAAAACAGCATCTTTGGATGTATTTTCTGCTGTAGATGTGTTGTCCTAAAAAACAATAAATAAATAAACAATTGTACATATGCCATAGGTATTACAGAATTTTTTGTTGTTTTTGAAACCTTGACTTTTCCAAACCATGGTATACCTTGAAAACGGTAGTAAGTTTAACGGTAAGTTTAATGGTTTAACTGTAAGTTTAACATGAGAAAAATGTAATGACGGAGGAACATATAAAACAAATATGTGGAAAAATATCTGCTGTGGCCTGCAGTAAGGGTAAGAAAGAAAGAAACTTTGGACATCTTGTTATTACATATATTATAAAAACAGGGAGCTAAGATATTTTAAGAAATAAATACTAAAGAAATTGTGTTGTGGGCAACAATTCCAGGTCTCAAAATATACAACTTCCAAACAATTTCATTTATTTGTAATGAATTTGACAAAAAAAGCTTATCAGGGACTAAATATGGTCAATCTTTATGCCATATTGTAGTAGTAATAATAATAATAATAATATAATAATAATAATAATAATAAACATTAACTTGAGAAGTAAAACCATGTCTTTGTAACTAAAAGGCTGATTAAAATTATATGAACTTGGGCCGGTATAAGATTTAGATAGTATGATATGATAACTTTGGATAAAAATATCATGGTTCCACAGTATTGTGATTACTGCTCTAAAATATATTCTTTTTAAATGTCTGGGTAAAAACGTAAAACTTTTTTCCCCCTTTGAACACAACAATATATTTATTTGAAAAAAAATATTTTGGAGCAGTGAACATGTCAGGCTGAATAATGCAAATAAATCACTGACTTCTGCTGTCTTCAAAAACACAGATATTTTTACAATTTAAAATTGCATATTTGGATATTTTTTTTCTGCTTGAGATACTCTAGTTCTAAAAACTTTATTTTTTTCCAAGTAAATAAAAGATCATACATATACCATAGGAACGGTATAGCCAAAAATTTAAGCGGTTTTAAAACCTTGACTTTTTCAAACCAAGGTATACCTTGAAAACGGTTATCGGCCCATGCCTAATATGGTCAATTAGTCATGATGACAGCATATATTTTAGTTCATTGTTAATCATGTTCTAACTTAATTTTATAAGTTATGCAAGCAGATTTAAGTCAGTTTAAAATAAAATAAGTTTAATGGACTCATAGGGTTAATATGATTGAGCTTGAAAATTTGAGGCAACCAAGATTTTTTGTGTATTATAAGGTATTTAAATAAAACCACAGGAGTCATAAGTATAATGTCAAGGTATTTGAAGAAAGAAAGAAAGAAAGAAAGAAAGAAAGAAAGAAAGAAAGAAAGAAAGAAAGAAAGAAAGAAAGAAAGAAAGAAAGAAAGAAAACACAATTCATCAATGACGCTGTTGATGATGAAAACATCCTAACTTGTCAAGTCACTGTTGCCAATACACTTTGCTGAAGTTCAGCATGCAAAGCAGGCTCATAAGTTTTTAATTGAATAGAGAAAGACCAAGACTACTTCAACTTACCACTTCAATGACTTTTAAAATTCCAAAATGTGACTTGAGGTACTCCCGGTCACACCTGATGGCCCTGAACACGTTTCTGGAGAGCACGGGCTCGGTGGTCGGCTGATACGGACTATTGACTCCTGAAATCATCGAGGTGTTGGAGGCCTCGCCATCAAAGCCCTCAGTCTCCTCGTTATTCCTCATGCTCAACTCTTTTATTTATCTCTTCGTCCCGCCCAAGAAACAAGAGTGGCCGAAATTAAGAGCGATTCTCTCCTCTGAAAACAGTCAGGCAGAACGCAACAACAATCTCTCAACAAAGAACAAGCGTCGCTACACAACGCGTAAACTCCAGCCGTGTGTTAATAGCGTGACCCGCGGATCCCGAACAACTACATCCACCACTCCGTGATCTCCGGTCCCGTTCCTGGCGCCGTACAGTGCTCGGATCCAGTCATGAACAGAGCTGAACGAGCTCGAACGATCGCCGCTGTTCTCATGGCAGTGTCCATATTTCACAGTTTCTGGATGCAGAATGTAATGTTGCTGCGAGTCTCCGCCCTCCAAACTACATTCCTGCGAGGAAAAGACGCTTTCATCTGGAGTCCCGACGACTGATGTCAGAGAAACAAAAGCACAAAACTGGCATTCCTCTTCAGCTTCGAGTTCTCCTCTCTGAGTTCTGCAGGTGAGGATCGCTGTATGTGTGATTCATCAAACGTGAGACGACACACGGTAGTTTAATATGACCGTATGGCACGCCGAAGTAACATTTATTGTTTAAAGTCAAGCTAAAAGATGGTGAATTTTGTAGGAATGCAATTAATTAGGGACTTATCATCAGGGTTGGGTTACATTGAAATGTATTTTTAAATTAAATACCAAACACCTAAATTTTACATGTATTTAAATACATTACAAAGTACAGCACCCAAGTGTTAAAATAAAATAGATATTTTGTATTTCTGCCACAAAATACTTTTACATGGGATTATAAGATTTCTTCACATCCTAATAGGCATATTCGATCAATTCCTTCAACATTAAGCTGAATTAGTGAAGTAAACAATGTTTGATAACAACAGCTGTTCTCTGAGCAAGTTTAAGTCAGCCACTGTAGGACTTATTTTTATGTTGTTTGTCTTATTTTCTTGGCGTCTAAATCAGCAATTCACCCAAAACTACTATTATATGTGCAGTTTTCGCAATCTCTCAAGATTTTTTCAGTTCTCTTTTAACCGGAAGAGTCTCAGTATGCTGATGCTGAATTGTACACTATACTGCCATTACAAAATACTGGTCTAGGCATTGTGCAGTATACGATTTTCACTGATTGTTGACTAGTACTCAGATATACCCCTGCCATTTGTCTGTTATTGTCTTTATGCGTGTTGCATAATTTCCATACTTCAAGCACTGACCACCACCCTAATTAAATTTCTGTTCTGATCTCAAAACAAATAACTGAGAAAGCAGCAGAGGCCACATTTTGATTGTCATAATGTAGACATCTTACAAATAAAAATACAAGATGCTTAAGTATTTTGATACAAAATATTATTCAGAAGGTCATGATTTGCACTCATCAAATAATTGCTTCATACAGTTTTTATTTTATATTATTCAGGTGATACAAAGCAAACTTTTTAGCACAATGCCTTCCTCAGTGTGACACAATCCTCTCACTCCACCCTTTTGTCCCAAAGTCAATCACATTGCGCCATTAGTTAAACGGCCACTCGATGATTAAAAACAACCTCATTTTCATTTCAATATGCCAAAATTAACTACACAAGAAATATTTACCTTCACCTTCAAAAACATCATTTCACAGGAAAATAGCATTTCATTTATCATCATTCACTTATTCATGTCAACATCAATACAATGAAAGTCAAACGGATATTTCTTGTGTAGTAAATTATGGTACATCCAACTAATGATGCAATGTGATTGACTGTGGGACAAAAGGGTAAAGTGAGAGGATTGTGTGACACTGAGGAAGGCATTGTGCTGAAACGTTTGTGTTTTGTATCACCTGAAGAATATAAAATAAAAACTGTACAAAGCAATTATTTAATGAGTGCAAATCATGACCTTTTGAATATTATTGACGAGATTAATGCACCAAAAGTTTTTTAAACGGCGAGTGTGCAGGACAAACTTCATTACTCAATGTGATACAAAATATGAACCCGTTTTTTTAAACCCTATCAAATAAGTACAAATTACAAAATACTATTTTGTATTTAAAATATGTATTTGAAACGTATCACAAATACTGCACGTCCCTGCTTATCATAGTTAGCTTTTGTGCGCACGCTGGTTTGGATGGTTTACATGAACACAATATTGTATAATGACACAGTTATGCATGAGGTATTACAACATTTGAGGTGGTTTATGAGGACATATCTCATGTCCTCGTAATTCAAAACACTTAAAAGCATAACGGGTCTATTTAAATTTAACATTTGCCCCAGAATTGCTGTAAGGGTTAGGTTAGCTGGGCTAAGGCCATATGATAAGCAATTTTTACTGTATAAAATACATTACACTTACGGGTAGTCCTACTAAACCACAAATACCAACATGTGCGCGCTCGCATGCATGTATGGATGTACATATATACCCTACATTTTAACATGCAGGTATGCGCATAGATGAGAATACAAGTGCAGCTAAAATAACTAGACAAGCTTTAACACTTAAAATGAAGTTGGTCTGTGTGCACGCATAGAGTTGAAGTCACACCCAAAATTTACAGCTCAGTGTTGGCATGCTGAAAAAGAAACTACAGTTTTAACGTCCAATGCAGAAACTTGAGGGGTTGAGGGAGGCGGGATAAGGTCAACACATTTGCATCATCTCGGTAAAATATACAAAACAACGTTCTCTGTTTAATAATAAAGTGATCATATTACAAGACTAACTATTAAAACTAATAGAAAATGACACTTGTTTAGTTAATATAAACACAAGTGTACTAAACGAACAAATGTTAATTTGGCTTGCCACAATGTCTGTTTCTAAACTCTACAACGGTCTTCCTAGACAGCAAATTTGGTATTGGAGCACTTCTTTTTTTCCAATGTTTCACTACTTTCCAGCTTATTATGCAGAGACTCATTAGCAGATTGATTTAACAGAATAAACGATTAATATCAATCATAACATTTGCTAAGAATTGTTTCATGAAGTATTTATTAATCTCTTATAATGCATAAATATATGTTAAAAGTGCGTCTTTATTATTACATGCATCAATGAATGCAAGTACACGTTTTATTTTAATATCTAAACCAAGCAAATTTATACGGGGAGAACAGCACTGCCCTCCACTGGTTTGGTTCTCATGACTGTGCAACCATCTGACAAGTTTGCTTGAAATGATCCCAGCAAGCAATGATGAATAAAATATTAAACGTGTCAAGGTTTTCATTGGTGGTGTGATGCATTTGCTGTTCAACTGCCAAGCAATTAACTGCAAAGCATGACAAGCAAAATAGTAATAATAATAATAATAATAATAAAACAACACAAGAGAGTTGTAGTCTGGATTTGTATTTTATTTAAGCCAGGACTGAAAAAAAGACATTTCCTTATCTTTGCAATAAAAGCAAGAACTCACATGGCCACATACTGCATCAAGTTAAAGCCATACAGTCAGACTCACTTTAAGGTATAGCACACAAACACAGTCCTCTGTGTGAATAGAAAGGCTTTTCAATTCCTGTATAGAAAATTTTGGAAGCCAGAGCATTTTCTCAACATTTTCTTACTAACAGGGGTAAGTGCATATTAGAAGGATTAAACAAAAAGCAGTCGACTTTCATCCTATTCTGAATGAAATACATACAAAATGTGCTGTTGTTTATTTAACTGCAACCCTCCCCAAAACGAGGGAAAGAAATCAATGAAGCTGAGGCCAAGTAAACTGGTTTCTGTTGACGGCCACCCTTTTATCCGTTGAGCGTCTCCTTTGGGAAAACAGATGGATCATGAGTTAGGAAGCTTTTTCAAGTACTTGAGGCGACCTGGGAGCAGCTTGTTAGCTTTTCGATTTCTTAGCCCATTATGTCTAGATTTGCACCGAGCCACTACTTAAAAATGAGGCAAATTTGTGGAGGGAAACAAATGTGCTGCTTTTTACAGTATAACAGAATTTCTTTTTCACGTCCAGTAAAACAGTTATAACGCCATGAAATAATAATAAACCTCAATCAAGAGGTATTTTCCAGAGGAATGTGTCAGTGATATTTAGACGATGAGAGTTCAGTCACACAGCAAACGCAGAGAAATGTGATGAAATACTTTAAGTGCATTGTTAAGGTTATACGAGCGGTTTAGAATAGTACAAGTGATCTGAGGCTTCATAAGTTGACAGCCCACAATCTAAAATGGATGAAAACCTTAACCACTAAACCAAGAGGTATATAGTCCAGACTTAATGTTGTGCTTGAATATCAGCAAATGCTTTAGCCCTGCCCGTCATAAATGGAAACCGTTAAGCGATATTATGCAGCAATAAACGTTTCATTCGAGTTCCTCTAGTTTGGTTTGAGATTTGTCTAACACAAGTGCATGCAAAACAACAGTAAACGCTACACGTTTGTGGTCTATTCCCTTGAAGCGCTTACAAAGAAAAAGGACAAAAACTTTAAACTCTAATGGAAAAATGTGAGACATCGAACACAGACCACCGCAGTAAGCAGAGGATCTGTTGTGGAATGATGGCTTCTCCAGGCTCAGCCAAGATCGGCCACCTGGGAGGAGTTCAGGGCAGCTACTCGACATAGACATAACATGTGGATTCTACATCTTTGGTTCCAGATTCCAATTCTCGGTTTCCTTTTTCATCTGAACACGCGACGATTATTTCAAATCCACTCGAGCTGCTTCTTTTACAGCTTCGCCAGAACAACGTTAAGGTTCAAAACCGTACATCATGCCTGCGGGTGATTAGTTAAGCTAAACCAGAAATCGAAATTCAATGAGTTACAGTATCAGTAGTGAATAGAAATGTTGAGAAATGAAGGCGGACATGTATGGACTCAGACTCTACCCTGAGTGAAAAGACAGAGCTTGTGGCATGACAATACACTGAAGGCAATATCATCACTTCCAGAAAGATCACAAAGCAGAGACACTTAAAAATAGAAGGGGGAATGTTTTACGTTGATCTCTATACAGTCCTCAAGAAGCTGTGTATGAATATATATAAGAAACAAGACATGTTTAAGGACTGACATGACGAACAATCTGTCACTTGGCCACATGAGAAATGGTGCTAGTGGTTTAAACCACAATTTTAAACTGGGAGGTGGGATGAAAAGCCCCACTAAGATTGTGACATTCACAAAAAGAAAGGCAAGCTCCCTATGGCAGCAAAAAGGAAAAGGATCTAGGCCACTGAAGTAAGCAACATGTGTAATTTAAGCAAAAAAAAGCAATGACCACAGACATGGAAAAACACAAACCAAAATAAATTACATGAAGCTGCACCAAAAAAAGAACCATTGACTGTTGATGCTACAGTGCAGTTCGTCTTTTGGAGACAAGCACCTCCACTATGACACAGGCACTTGGGAGTTATACTAGGAAAGATGCCGTCCTGCCGCTCTCCTCCAAAAACGAAACCACAGCCTAAATAAAATGCTCAGCCTGATACTCGTTTCATCTGCAATAGCTCTTCATAAATTGTTAAAATAATTAAATTTTATACAAAATCAAATCAAAAGCTTGTATAGCAAATATTTAGCGCATATTTACATAATTTGAAGAGGCGGTGTGGCGGCATCTGCCGTTCTCGTATGCTGAAGGCCAATGGGTGTTTGTCATTAGTGTCATGACATCAGTGATGTTAACAGTGTTAAGTGACGCTTTCACTGATAAAACACAGAGAAAATAAAAGCTTGATTTGCTTTCTTCTTTATAAATACATCAGCATAAACGTAACTACGTTTGTACACACTATATACTTCTTTTTGCAAGTACTTCTTGTTTTCAGTGAACGTATTCAGGCTTTTAGCAGTAGTTGTAGCGGATTGCAACACTTGAAGCGACTGCTGGTTGAATGCAGCAGTGCGTTTCTGCTCAGGAGGAGGGAAACGGGTGCGTTTAATAGTTCCCCAAGCAAAGCAAGGGTCCACACTTGAGAGTTTTAACCGTCGTCTTCTGGAGAAAAGCACCCATTACTTGACCTCCCATACCACACCAAAAATTAATCACCACAAATAAACAAACAAACACAGATAGGGGGCTGGAAATGAAAACAAAAAAAAGCAGTTGCATCTTTTCATATTTCTACCTCTCGTTCCCCCACAACATCAGCGTCCACACATCTGATAGAATCCCAACACTTTCTGTAAACCACACTCTGTTTGCTGATTGACACACAAGGTGGGGGGATTTTGGTCTTGAAAGCTTTTTTTTTTCCTCTGTTATATCGTTACATATTGATTTCCAGAGCGGACAATGCTGTTGGTGCACTCATGCCTCGTTCTCTGTCGCTGGGGTATTGTTGGCCGTTACCAGGGAATCGGGTTTACGAGTCATTCGGTCCAGCTCTGCTTGGACGTCAGTCAAACCCGGCTTCTGCCCTTGGAAAAAGAGAGAAAGACAAAAACAGAGTAATCTCCTGTAGTTTCTGTGTTGTATTTCTAAATATTACAGGTTGGTTATGAGGGAACCAGTTTGGGTGGATGAGTGTTGCATGCTGGTATGCATTCATAAGCAGCATGCTGTGTGGTTACACAAATGCAGACATACTGAGAAGGACAAAGAAAGAAAAAACAAATAGCATGCAGTTCTTTATCTGAGGGCAATGTAGACGCTAAGGCCGTAACAGCAGGTGAGTTACACATACATGAGTTAATATATTAGCATTTCATGTAAATGACTGGAACAAAACACAGTGCTTCCCACACATAGACTTTACTTGGCCAGGCTGCCCAGGTTTATTATTTACTGACATTTTTTTTTACTATTATTATTATCCTTTTATACTTTTTTGGATCCACCTAATATAAACAAACATCCGCAAGTGATTAGGTAGTGGAAAACTTTCTCTTCTTTACTCGTTTCATACTGCTTCAACAGCCCCACAAACGGTCTCACATGTTCTGCAGACCCACAGAGACCTGCACCTATTTGGGTCTAACCAGGGTTTCTAAATCTACTAATTTATAGGTCTCAAACTGGATTCCTGGAGGGCAGCAGCTCTGCACAGTTTTGCTCCAACCCTAGTCAAACACAGCTGATCCAACTTATCAAGGTGCTCATGACTCTTTTGAACACCTCGATTATAGATCAGCTGTGTTTGATTAGGGTTGGAGCAAAACTGTGCAGAGCGGCAGCCCTCCAGGAATCCAGTTTGAGGCTAAAATGTACTAATATGTACTAAAATGTCCAGGATGTGATTTTGTTTTTGCTTTCTAAGCTGTCGTTAATTTTATGCGCACAGCCACGATAGCGGGAGAGACATTAAATAATTAATTCTTTAATGTAACCAACTCTACTAAATACTCAGAGAGGACGAAATTACATCTAAACTGACTGCAGAACATTTAAAAATATTAGAAATGGGTATTCAACTCATTTGTCTTATTTAAATAATCTACATGTTTCATTCTTGTAATTATTATAAATTTTTAGAGAGATTGACTGTTTTTATTCATTTTTTTTCTGTCATTTAATTCCTCATTTGCTGTATATATTATTAATATGTTCCTTTTAAAATGCTGTCACTACTGTAGAAACCGTCATGCCAATAAAGCAACCTGAATTTGAATGAGAGATAAAGAGAAGCAGCTGTCAGTGTGTGCACATGGCTCCTAAATAGCATAAAAGAGAATCATTTTTTTGTTTTTGTTTCCCCAAGTCTTTTAATTTTAACCCATTGAAATGAAAAAGTTTAAATAATAATAATTATAAATAAATAATAATAAATAAATAAATAATAATAAAAATAGCATTACAAATCAAGGTAAGTTTTGTTTGTCGCACATAGTTTGTGCTGTGGGTAAAAGGTGCGTTTTAATCCGGCTACCACTGTAAGTATATTTCTAAACTTGTGGAAAGCACTGTAAACATGAATACAAAGTGTGTGATATGAACATCATTTTAGGTAGGAAAACCAGCGAGTATGAGATATCACCAGCCATGGTGACATCACTCACACAGGCTTTTTAGCCCATTCTTCCTGGTTATTCAGGCTCTAAGGATAAAGCTCAATAAATAAATAAATAAACACATCCAGAAGGAACAAGAGAAGGTGAATCTAAACATTAGGGGCTTTTGCACTGGAGTTTCAGAAATTCAATCATAGAAAAGTAGCCAATAAGCCAGGGTCCAGGTTCCCGAAACCTTATTTCCCCCCAGGTCAATATTCTGAACTCTGAACAACACAAGGTGGTCAACTGCAACTTCAGGTGCTGCATTTAATCAAAAAGAAATGTATTGGCTTGAGCCAATAGTTCTAGGAACTGTTAAAACATTCTGATAAACAAGCCCCTAAGGACTGTATGGGCCATGATTTAAAGGAATAGTCCACCCAAAAATGAAAAATGTCATTTAACTCATCCTCCAATTGCTACAAACACATTTAAACATTTTTTTCTTCTGTTGAACGCAAAATATATTTTGAAGATTGTTGAAAAGCAGCAGCTTGTGACATCTGTAGTATGTTTTCCTACTATAGTTTCCAACATTCTTTAGAATATCTTTTTTTTTTGCTTAACTATGATAAAAGATTAGATCTACTAATGTACGAGTAAATAATGATTTCTGTTTTTCAATTTTGAGTGAACTGTGCCTTTAAACCAAAATCATAAGGGAAAAAGCAGCACTACACATGTTAAAAAAAATCAATTGAACTGCATGGAAAATTCATTTAAAGAATATTAAAAAAAAAAAAAAAAAAAAAAAAACTTTCCAAGCATTAACTGTACAAGAGCAAATCTAAAGGTCATCAGGCCTTCACTCTCATTACTGCAACATTATATTTATGCTATTTTGTTTCTAGTAACTCTGGACAGAAGCAGAACTCATACATGACATAACTTTTTGAGAGTTTCATCCATTTCTATAGTTAATGCTGGCAAAAATGTACCTGTTTTCTTTGCAGAGCCTTGTACACCCGTTCCTGTTCCTGCTCCTGCTCCTGCCCCTGGAGTCCCAGGACTGCCCGGAACACCTGTCTTTTTACTCAGCAGACTGTTGAAGAAGTTGGCCAGCACTCCCTCATTTGCAGCAGCTCCTATAAACACAAACAAATCAAATGTAATGACATCAAGTGGCAATGGAGAGGCCCAAACTAATATACAGGACATATTAACACCATTTTAACAATAAAGGGCTGTTGATTTAGCATTGCTGGGCTTCAATAACACCAAGGTGCTGTTTACAACTGTTCAGTTCATTCATTTTGTTTTTGATCGGATAGCTATTAGATCTTAAAATGGACAGGTGTAAATAATGGATATAGTTCGAGATGGACATAAATCTGATTGCTCAAACTACTTCAAGAGGTGGTCTGGGACACATTCCAGAGAAAACTGGAAAGGCCTAAATTTCATTTCATTTTTTAAAGCATTTTCATTTATAATGTATTGTAAATTTCATATACACAATATATATAGCTTAGGCCTTTGTACGTCATAAAAGGGGCTGTAATATCTGATGCTTTAGTTGACATAACCCTAGTTAAATTTGCATAAAGCAAAGACGCGTTCATGTGTCAAATGTAAATAGAACCATTTTCAGAAATCAGATAGCTATCCAACCACAAAAAAATGACCAGGTGTAGACAGTGTAAGCTGTATACCAACTAAATAATTATGAAAAAGAACTAGTTTAAAATATCTGAAATATGACTCCTGAAACCCTACAGCAGGGATTTCCAACCTATGGGTTTTCCCTATTAAGGGGGGAGCGAGAATTTGAGGCGTGCATACGAGTAAATCATAGTGACGATTGTTATGCATTCACTAAAGTGAATCTGATTAACGTTATTTCCACAGCTAACTATTAGGTACTTGTAGAGTAAATGCGTTTAACTAAGATATATACAAATAAAATGGACTGGGAGCTTTTTAAAATTAGTACTGGTGAATGAAAGGAAAATTGGTGAGCCGTCTGACTAAAAAGTGCCCTTGTGAATCAAATCAGCAGGATGCCCTTCTGGATCTTTTACTTACCTTGAAAACACTACTAACTACGTTTACATGACATCTGTAATAGTTATTTGCCTTAATCTGAATAAGACACCTGAATTAAGGTGTTTACATGAAGTGCTTTTTGAATGTTGCCTGACCAGACAATCCACATTTCCTGCAGAGTTTCATGTAATTTTTGATGTTTCATCTTTAATTTGTCGACTTCAACTGCAGTTCAAAAGTTTCACTTTCACTCAAGAACATTTTATTCCTGCCCCCGTGACAAACTGAGGTATTGGATGCGAGTATGGAGTAAGGACTGATGGAAAAGTGTTGTTTTAATGGAATTTGATACCGCAAACCGAATGGAAAGAAAAATTTTTCCGCATTTTGCAGTGTGTGTGTGTGTGTGGATCTTGTTGCAAAATGCAGCGAAGTGTCTTACATGACGGTAATAGTTTGATTGATTGCCACTAGTATATACATATTCCACGTTTTAATTCCTATTCTATTAAGTTAAATTATGACTTTAGTCAGATTAATGTAATCAGTCAGGGCTCTGCGAACTTGGCTATGCAAAGCAGCCTTTTTTGCATGTACGTAAAATACATCAAAAGCAAGTATGCTATGGCTCACGCTTTTTGACAGTGGAAGATGATTTACGGTTAGCTGTGTCAGGAATCCAACCACGGATTAGTTTGTTGTCCTAACAGAAACAGGCTCAGCCATCACACTGAATCAGGTAAGCTATATATTTACTTTTCAATGTAATTAATGCTATGCACTTTAAACGAAGCAAGTAATATGCGAATGATGTTTGCACATGCAAGGGGTAGGGGGGCACGAGTGAAATTGGACAGAATTGGGAGGGGGAATGTGTTTTAAAAGGTTGAAAACCCCTGCCCTATAAGATATGAACCTCTGAGAATTCAACTAAAGTGGATTTCATTAAGTGAATGAATGTAGTCCTGCTGGTATGAGATTTGCTGTCCAGCTGAGATTTAATGATAGGAAATATTCTATTTTCCCCTCACCCCAACTAGATTGTGCAGGAATTGTTTAGGGAATTATTCAAATCCTCTCCTCAGGAGGGCAGTGTTTCAAAGAGATTAGAAGAGCACCATAAGGTAGGCAAAGAAACTAACCAGCAAAATGAGACGAGCTTGTTTGAGAAAGAAAAGAGAGAGGGAGAGAACAAAGTGCTGATATTTAGACTCCCACGAAAACACAGTTTTTGCTTGACTGCACAATCATGTGTTGTTTGTGCCGCCCAGATGAATAGAGAGCCATGAGATCACAATGCTTCATTTAGGCTCTGCATCAACTGGTGCGTGTAATCTTGGAAGGTAAGATTTCTTACCTTTCATGTTGGGGTCTGGTTTCTTTACCGCGGTCATGGGCGAGACGCTAGCCACATTTGTGGGTCCTGTCCGACCTGTCGGCCGAGGTGAACCAGACGCAGTCCGGGCAGGAGACTCCTATATTAAAACACACAGTACATATCAGAAAAATACACAAGTAATCTGATAGATTCACATCTCCCAACACATTCAGACAGTATTGAGACAACAAATGTGAAAAGCAACTTAAGCAAAATGATTCAGTGGATTTTGGTAACTTGCACAGCTCATGCGTCAGAATTTTAAACAAAGAAAATCCTTACAGCAGCATAATAGTGTCACAGTTAAATGTATGTGTGTGTGTGTGTGTGTGTGTGTGTGTGTGTTTGTGTAATGTGAAGGACACACTTACTGTTCCTCTTGTGGGTGTGGCCGGCTGCTTGGCTAACAAAGACTGAAATAAAGATAATTAAGACACAATAACTTCAATATTAGTGTGTAAATACAGTTACAAGACATGTAATTACCTCTGTACTACTTCAGGTTGTATAACTAATGTGCAACCATTCAAAACTTTGCAGTCAAGAAGATTTTTTTCAAGATATAAATGCATTCATTTAGCAAGGATGTAATAAGCTGATGAACCGTGAGTATTTTTAAAGAATTATGTAAACACTAAAGACTGGATTAATGGCGGTTAAAAACGTAGGCTTGTCATCATAACAATAAATTAGATATCAACATATGTGGTAAAGAATAGTTAATTTAAAATGAGATATTTCTTTTAATATTACAGTTTCTTTGAATTTAAGCAACTTAAAGAGCTCTTTTTATGGGTTTTTGAAAATGACCTTCTCTGCAGTGTGCAACACAGCTCTAAGTGAATGAAAACATCCAGCTGAGGTTTACATCTGAAAGTGCACCTTGTTTAAAAATTTAGATTTTTAATAAAAGGTTAGACTCTTCATCAGATTCGTCATTTAACCGGTTCTTTTGCCTGTTCGTATCAAAACCAAATATGAAGTGCCGGATCAGGTAAAACGTAAAAGCGCCTTTTCCTTCAAAAACTAGCAGAGTGCGGGTGTGTGTGTGGGACTGATCACGACTGAAAAGATTAGCATCATGCTAAGGAGGCATTTAGAAACAAATTAATCGCTGAACAAATCATATTGGAGTTGGGATAATTAGGTAAACAAAAATGCATAATAAAAAACAATGAAAGTGTTTTTTGGCCATGCATGCATATCAGACTGTTGTTGGAGACCTCCCAACACCAAAATATGACCTTTTAATGCATAATAGGGGGCTCTTTAACAAAGTTTTGGTGACAACATCTTCCCTAAATTTACACAAAAAAAAACTTATCAAACCCAAAGTTTTAAACAGTGCACAAAGTTTATATAAAAACTTTTATACAACCAATACGACCAAATTAGTATTGTACAACTAGATGATTCATAACAGTATGCTTGTTTGACAAATCTCACACAGTGATCTTTTAATTTCAAAATCAAAGAATTAGGTGAAATGCTCTTAGTGAAATCAAAAGCAGGCGCTGCAGCCTGATATAGTGTCAGAGACTGTTCTCGATAAAATCCCCTCACATAAACACTGTGCACGATTGATTAAACCACATGGAGCCACTCTGAATGTGTGACATGACCTACAATGAAGTGCAGTGTGACCAAACATTGTGTTTGTAAACAGAATGATGTAAACCCTGCCATGGGTCAACCTATGAAAACTAACCAGCTTCTGATTGGCCAGACAGCTCTGGAAAAATGAGCAAAAATAAACCATACAAATGGATTTCACCTCATCTACGCAAATGAGAGCTCTGCCAGAGATGCATGTCTACATCAAAGAACGTATCAGTAGATCGGAGTTGGTACATTTGCCTGCCTTTCAAGGTCAGAACTAAACATATCCTAAATTAGGTGCAGGTTTTCTTGCTAAACATACCTGTTGCTTCATAAGGAAGACCTGCTCATCCTCAGCACTGATTTCCTTGTCATGCACCAACTTTAGAAAAAAAAAAAAAGGAGAAAGGAGGAAACTTACAAAAGCAGTTAAAGATTAAGGTGAAGCCATTACGTTTTTTTTTTTTTTTACTTACCTTTCGTACAGGTGGTTTTGTTATAAAGTCCTCAAAGGGATCTTCAGGTCGAACCGTTGTGAAGTTTTCATGCAAGATGCAAATTTTCTTGTCATTGTCCCATCCTGATGGACTGCAGAGAAATTATGTTTAAACAAAGAACATGCAATTACTGGCATAAAAAGATCATTTAACATGTTGAGGGAATTTCAGGGATCTCACATGAACACTGCGTCCTTCTCCACCACTAAGGCAGGCGATGAAAACTGGAAGTCATATATTTTGTGCACCATGTATTTGTAGAGAAGGTCCAGGTTCTTCTCCTCTTTGACTGAAGTGTAAATCAAACCAGCTCCATCTGTGAGATTTAATTAAGGATCTATACACTAATAAAAAAAGATCATAACTTCTACTAAAAAAAGCATCTAACAACACTAAAGTATAAACTTAACTAAGTTACCGGTAAATCAAAAACAAAACATACAAACTATATGACGTATAAATAGTTTAACCTTAAATTGTATGAAATATATAAAAGAAAAACTTTGTTTATAAAAAGAAAAAAACAAATAACTTCTGTTAACAAGTTGGATTCTTCTCATGAGTGTATGTTTATTGCACTATTATAGTGTCATCTGACTCTGATGGTTTCATTTAAAGCATATGACCCTGTGCATTGTCTATTTACAGTTAATAAACATACTTTATAGATGTTACGGCTGCTCAATATATCATTTCAGCATCGATATTACAATGTGCGGATCCGCAATAGTCATATCTTTATGAAATGTTGAGTCTTAATTATAATTAACCAGAAGCTAATGGATTTTATTTAATTACTGAATTTATATAGAATTTATATTATTAAATTATTATTAAAAATAATAATACAAAAATTGTGTCTTCTTTTTAGTCCAAATATCTACATTTCAAAGTGAAAACAAGATAACTTCACCTGCCCCACTGGCAGAACATTTAGCTTGTTTTAAGGAATTACTCTTAATTTTGACCTATTTCTTCTGAAGTAAAAAAGGTTTTTTTTTTTTTTTGGACCAAAAACGAGACAAAGCAAAGTAAGAAAAGTATTTTTTGCATTTGTGATTATTTAATTTCTCTGGCTGAATACTATTAGTCACCAGAAAAACATCAAATAGTGCCATTCAAACTATCTTCATTTTGCAATATTTATCACAAACGATATCGCAATATCACATTTTTATAATATCGTGCAGCCCCAATAGACATCATCATTTGGCTCTCTTTTTTCTTTTTTTTATCAGTGCACTTTAAAGCACATTTGTAACATTATAGAGAAATACAATAATGCTTTCCAACATACAGTGTTCTTTAAGGGGACAAAAGAGACGTGAGAAGTGAGGAGGATACACTGTAGACAGAACCGCCGGATGTGTGACTGAATGAAGTCAAAATGCTCCTCTTTGTAGTCATGCTCCTTTTCCAGTACATTGACAGCATCACACTAAAACACAAAGACAGATAATCATTGAGGGGAAAACATTTACCACATCATATTTAGACAACACAAGGGTGCATAGACTACCCTTTTGGGACCAAAAACCTTATCATTGATCCTCTGTCAGACACAGACACACCATCTTAAAAATCCCAAACAAATCCATGTTCTTAATTGTATGCAGCAGCCATATCTGTGAATGACTCAGGTTGTGGCCGATTGCCAGACATAATGGGTCTGGCAGGAAGAGGATTTGCTGACTAGACTGCTTAAAAAAAAAATAAAAAATAGGAGGCTGCCATGACAAAAATATCCTGGACAGATCAGTCTTGGCCAATGCAAATGCAAACTCATCTCTGCACTTCAAAAACACCACTGACCTTCTACTGAACCACAGGACAAGCTCTCACTTGATATTAATAACATCCTGACCACTTAAAAAAAAAACAGAAACAAATGTGATCATGAAACAACACCAATGGCACACCCCTGCTAAAATCTGCCAGGGACACACCAAGCTAACAATCAGCCATTGGGCTTCTTTAAACTGTCAGTCAGAGTCATCCAGCTTGCTCAGGTGAACTCTGTCCTGGAGGGCCGGTTTCCTGCAGAGTTTAGCTCCATCCCACCTGCCACAAAGTTTCTAGTCTGCTCCACAGAGCTTAATTAGCTGGTTCAGGTGTTTCTAATTGGGGATGCAGCTAAACTCTACAGAACATCAGCCCTCCAGAACCAAGTTAGGGCACCCCTGAGCTTGTCAGTTAGCCGTTTTTTTACGTCACCTCTTGTCAGGTTAACATCGGATTGAGATGACCTGATTCGGCATGTAGAATAGGCGTCGGCTGAAGATAGAAATCGTATTGGTTATTTAGCAAAGAATCAGAGCACAAGAACAAAAACTGAAGTGATGTAACCAAGTGAACAATTCAAGTCAAAAGAGAACACAAAGTCGATTGTAATTTCACTTCATTTCTCAAATTTTTGCAAACAATATGGATTATTAGTTTATCAGACACATTTAAAGAAATTAATCAACTCCATGGTAAGTGACAATTGCTGTCTTAATGGTACTAAATGATGCTTTGTTTACACTTCCTCTCACAAAGATGCAGAACATGCATTCTACTTTCAGACGGCTGGCATCTGTTTAGTATGTTCTTATACTGACGAATTGTCGCAAACGAGATTTAGAACTACAGTTGTTTGTTTTTAATGCAGTTAATGGTCTTGCACCTTCATATTTATGGGAGATTTTAAACAGAACTGGGTGCTATGATCAGCAGGAAAGTTGTTGCTGGAGGTGCCCAGATCCAGGTATAAACAATGGGGTGATCATGCATTTTCAGTGGCAGGTCCTAAACTGTGAAATACCCTCCCTTTAATCACAGACGTGGCACTGTTTAAAACTTTTATTGACACTTGTGTTTTTACCATTTTATGGGTTTTTAATGTTTATGTTAATTTTGTTTTTAATACTGTAAAGCACTTTGGGCAGCCTCCTGTTTGTAATAGGGTGCTACATTTTTTTTTATTTGATTGACTGATTGATGTTTATGTGCAACTTTTTGGTCCAGACAGAAACTAATTGTTTGGCATCAGCTTGGTGTGTCCCAGCCTTCAGACAGGTTTTGTTTAAACACATTTGACCATTTGAGAGTTCACACTATGAAAGAAACCTCAAATGTCCTTTGATGCTGGTGAGGACCAAAAGTGTGTTTTTTAGACTGATTTACACATACAATTACGGCCCACTTCCACGAAGTGGTATGATTCGGTATAGGTCAGTGTGGGTCAATTTTATCAGGCTTGCATTTCCACTGTTTTTAACTTGTTGTTAAATATCAATTATTAAATAACAAATTAATTAAATGTAGCCTACCGTTTTCATTACCTCACCCACTTGGTCTTTGCTTTACTCATAACCAAACCATAGATAAATAAAGTTACACACAAATGACCACCTGTCCATTACTTTTTTCCACGGGACTCTGGCATGAATAGGCACAGTGATCTGTGTAGTTCTAATGGTTTTTCCCACAGCTGGTACAGGAGACGAGGGTTCGTTTGATGTTCACTGTAATTTGTATTGTGATTGATGATAACTTCCCTAATTTATTATCATTATGAGGAAATAATAACAACTAAAGATGCTAGAGCTCGACCGTTTTGTTTGCGTATGCACCCAAAATTTTATCTATGCGACCATAAAATATATTTGGAAACATTTGGGCGAGTGCATACGTTTTCATTGTTTTCACTGCAAAATCCTCACCACGTGTGCGGATTTAGGAGACATTTATGCAGAATGCATCTTTGCAGATTAACAGATTTAAACAGTTGTTATGTGAACTTGCTGAAGTAAAAAAAAAAAAGCCCACAATGCTTGCCCCACCTTTGTGCTCTTCTTATTGTCCCACTACTCTAGAACTGAACGTGAATGATTGGTTAATGTCAGCTGTAAAACACTCAGTCAATGCCTTCTGCCTTCAGATGACAGGAGCTACAACCACGAATATGTGAAGCGCTGAAGATGAGAGAATGAAAATAACACTGACAGATTTTGTTTTAGAAAACACCTACAGTTACTAATAATGGCGCATCTTATTAGTGATCATGTGCTGAACGTTTATCCCTTATTTACACTTTTCCAAGAGTGGATAAAAGACTTCCAGTGGCTTCAAGTCCGCTATGAAAATGACTAAAGCCATTAACTGTAAAGTCTGTGGGACGGGGTTTGGAGTTTGAAGTTTGGCGGCCATCTGCGATGGTATCATCTATTGGCCCGACCCTAACATATATGAACACATATAGACCCCGACAGGCAAAGATATGCTACCAATTGCAGAAAAACTACACACAGCATACATTTAGTCCTTATTTGGGTTCAAACACAACACGCGACATATAGCCCAGTCAGTGCAAACCTCTCATCTAATCTTCACCAGCACGTGTAACCTCTTGTTGGAAAGTAATTCTGTCATTCTGCTTTTGGGTACGTTTTGACAGTGGAAACAGCCATTAAAGTGTACCCAACTGACCATTTGTAATGCATATTTGTGAGTGGATAAACTAGAGCTACACAATTAATCGAAAAGAGATCGCGATCTCGATTCGACCCCCTAGTCGATCTTAATCCAGCATTTCTACGATTCTGTCAATCATATTTTCAAGTTCAGAATAGAAGAAAAGGTGGCTGCATAAGTCTTTTCATTGTTTTTCACACGTTGCTTAGTCACATGGACACCCCCAAATGATGTTAAAGGAGTCACATACAGTATTTCTAAGGTATAATTCACCTAAAAAACTCATTTTTGTCTTCATATAATGATGTTTTCGCGACCGGGAAATCACACGTGATGTGAGCTGACCGTGAGCTGTTATCACAGAGAGGGAGAGAGCGCGCCCTACTTAATGATATACGCGCGCGCCTACTTTAGTGAACAGAACCTACATATGCTGTAACAGGTAATACAGTTGTACATAATATCCAGTTTGTGGCATTTTAGAGTTTTGATTACAACAAGGATTTGATATGTTTTTTCTTTCATAGCGAACCGAGTTGTGCGTGAAAATAAATGTTTACAGTGTCAGTATAACTATATAATCTAATAATGACAAATGTCTGATTTTACCAGTGAATAAAATTGTCTAATAATGTTGACAATGACAGATTGCACTCTCAAACATAATAATTCAACATTAGAATTATTATAAGTAGAATAGAATCATTTATAGAAACCAGTTTTGCCATATGTTTGTTTTTACCATACCTTTATTTTACATCTACAGAATTGTGAGAAACTCGTGATCATTATAAAAAATAAAAAATAAAAATTGCGACTCTCATTTTAGTCAGAATCGTTCAGCTCTAGGATAAACCAAACCATATCTTAAAACCAGTTGTGACGGGATTTAAATTTTTTGGGGGGGTTATCCCGTTAAAAGGTTTTCAGCAGGTCAGTAAAAGGCTGTTGTTAGCAGATCAGTAATAGGGAGACTAATGCATATTGATAAGAGCGAATGTTGTGCTTTCAAGTAAACTGGAACTGTGTTGTGAAATTCAATCAGGATCTGTTTCTCTTCTATCCCAGGGTGGGGCCGTTTGATCACTTTACCTCATGCCGAACAAAGGGTGAAATTTTTACTCTCAGACCTAAACTACCTAATTTAAAAAGGGTTGTCTTTCATGCACTCAGAGCTGGAGGGAGTCTAACAATAGAAGAGATCATTGAGAGTGTTCTGATCTGAGAGCATGTGAGGGGGGCATGGTGAGTCTGCAGCTCTGAACCTGCAGGCTACAGAGAGTCTCCATAAAGAGAGCTTTTCATCCAATTAAAGACACTCCATGATGATCAGAAACAACACACCCATTCCCCAAACACTGAGCAAAACAACTCAAAACATACACTCAAATTCCCACTTTTAATACACACGGCAATGATAACATGTAATACTTTAAACAATTCCGGGTTAGTTTGATTTCTTTTCTTTTCTAAACTACCCTTGCACAAGCCTAAATTAAGACTCATAACTATTTATGATATTGACCTCTGTTTACTTCACACTTAAGTCGTGTTTTCAACAGAATATGCATGTAGCAAAGCCAGAAAAAGGATTGAATTTGTTATCTGTAAAAATCTCTGATCTCTGAATAAACATCTGTACTTAATGCCCTATACAAAGGCTTAATTTATGTGTGGGTTATTTAGCTAAATTAGAAAATCCAGCCAGCAAAAACAAATCAAAACCCATGCCAGACCACAGATTGTTATATGAATATCTCAATAGCCTGTACAGCTTTTTTATCTTTGAGCGATTAAAAACGTTAGTTGCAAACGTTCTTCACCATAACAACCAAGTAAGAATACTGTTGGAAGAAAAAACACAAGCCTGATCAGAGAGACCCTTCAAGAATAGTACCAGTTTACTGGAAACCAGGCATTACTACACTGAGCCCAAATTAGATCAGGCTCTTATAGAAGCATCCAATTTGGCTGGTCTATTAAGTTGAAGTTTTTGAGTTACCTTTGTGCATACGATGAGCATGGGAATGCCCAGGTTGTGCGTGAGGACGTTGTCTGCTAAGGGCAGCAGCACACTCTCATCTTCTCCTGCGGCTGCTGGGGCTCGTCTCTGAGGTGAGCCTGGTGTGGCTTCTTCTGGCTCTACATACTCCTGGAAAGCCTTCACCACTGCAGAGAACAGAACGGGGACAAAAATTTTACTTTCTCATTTATAATAAACAGTGGCAGCTGCAGCATTCAGTTTACAACAATAACAGAAGCATCAAACTACTGAATTATACATCACTGCTTACATTACACTGAAATTTCAACCAATATGTTTGCAACAGTTTCAACAAATATACTAGGATTCAGGAAGCAAATCTACAGATCATGCAGAGGTACGTTTACAAAGCTATAAGCATACACATGTTTTTTATGCAATATTTTGAATTGAAAATGACAATAATGCACGCATCAGTATGAGTCACTTAATTTCTTTAATTGACTCAATGCAAAAGTTCGACCAGTAAAAGTTTCATTTTAATGTCAGCTTCTAAGTAATAATAGAAATGTAGGGGTAAAAGTACATAAACAAAAGCAATATACCTGCTGCTTTCAAATATCGCTGGTCAACTGGGCTTGACACAGAGAAAACAATGAGGTTTGTTCTCGCTCATTAAGTAAGTGCATTTCAGTGGCTGTTTATTATATCTGCTGTGCTGTATGCACCAATCAATGTTTAGATGTAAATTTGGTATTTAGTAGGGCTGCACAAAATTGGAAAAATCTAACATTCCAATATTTTTTATTTTAAGATATGAGTATCATTTCACCAGATGACTTAATACCTCAATTTAGACATAATTTATAATGTTAGATGGATTTGGGATGATTCTGCAGTGGGAGTGCATCTCCATCAAATCAAATAAACAATCTATAAACTTTTTGGGGTTCCTCGGCACATTTTGGTTGTGGTCTGTGCTACCTGCAGTGCATTTCTGTGTTTTCATGCGTTATATTTTCATGCATAACAATCTATTAATGCAATCAAGAAAAAGATGCATTTGAAATAAAGTGTTCTATCATTTACCAAGACTACAGGTATTCAAGTACATTAAATGAATGATAAAAATGAATATAAAATGACACGTAGTTAAGGACACAAATGGTGCAATTTCTTATACTGGAATGCTTTTAAAACCATTATACAATCATAGGCATCAGAAACACGTGACAAATGATAAATTATGATATAAAATCAACATTGCATATCCTGCGATGTGACTATTGGGAATGATCACACTGCGATATCGATGCTGAAATGATATATCGTGCCGCCCTAGTATTTAGACAATTTCAGAGAGAAAATTAGCAAAACTGTGTGAACAGTTGTGGTAAAGAATATACACAATCAAATTTCTGAGGGTTATTCAGTCTCTTAATATTTTGAACACACAATCTTTTCTATCTAACAGAAAATGTGTGACCCTGTATGTAACTTGCTATACAAGAGAATATTCACTTTTTTCTTTGAAAAAAAAAAAAAAACTGTAGACAATATTTCACAATTACTTTGCCTTAAATTTAATAAGTCACATAAATGCAAAAATACATACATTTTCCGTTAAAAAAATGAATAAAAATCTTGACATTAGAATAACTTGAGGATGAGTAAATGCAAAGCAATATCATTTTTGGTAAAATACGGTCTTAAATGCCCAAGTTCAACAAATGAAACACATTTACATAATGGCTTCAGAAATAGGACATTCCATTCCCAGGTTACATAAGACCCAAACAGCATATCAAAAAAGATCATCATTACAGAAATAAATCTTACAATAGGCATTCGGCAAGGATCTTTAGCACTTTTCAACCCAACAGTTTATTATCTGGTTTGTAACTTAACCTGCCTGAAATCATGACTTATGGACACCTCTGTGAAGCTGAAAGCACCTTCTCAATAGACCGACCCTCTCCCAAACCCTCAATGCTCACATAAAACTACTACAGGACTCCAAACAGAAACCACAAGCAGGGTCTTTATTCACCGAACTGATAAATTGGAGTAAATGGAGAGGGCACAGTGGTGGTGATATGCAGAAATGAGTGCCTGGAAAGTCCTTCATTCAGCGGTGGATTCAGGAGGTGCTCAGAGCAGGGAGGGAGGGAAGGGGAACTTCCTCAGGAACCTTAAGAATGCAGCTTCAGATGACCCAGAAACCAGACAAGCAGCACTGCTTCCTTTAGCATACTATTATAAATGAACAACTGCAGGAAAAACTACAGTATAAAAGCAGATTTACAGTAATACTATTTAAAATTCTGCTACGTAAAAGGTTTCTTTTTTAAATAAACTGTTGTGTATCTATAGTAATGTATCTTGCACACCAAGGATATCAGAACGACACACTGTAAAAACTGGAACAGTCATTGCTTCTGAAACTCTCCATTAACTGGTTATGTCACAGTCAATTACCCACACCCTGTGAAGTGAAGGGTATACATGTTTCCACAGGAGCCAGAGATCAAGATTATCTGGTGCATTTCAAGCAAACCAATAAGCTACCGTGTTGTTCTCAACAAAGAGTCCATTAGGAAAGTTTAATTATTTCCAGAAGGCAAACCGATGTTCACCACGCAGCGATTCTTCTTAAATGATAACAGCCAATAGGCAAGAGCTGAAAATCACATGGCCTGAATCTTCAGAGAATTTAAAATAATAGCCTCGATTCTCCTGCCTCATGTTCCCTCAGAGGTTCTCATAACAAACTCAGGCTGAAAAACATAGTGAACATTTTTGAAATATCTCAATCAGCCTGTTTTTACTAGACAGTCAATGTTGTTACAGATCACAAACTTTCTTAAACAATATATGGCCTCCTTTAATCTCCTCAATCAAATGAAGTCCCAGTTTACAATCACTTTCCCGTGTCGACTTTGACCAGCTTCCACAAACAAGGGTGGGGACAGTCAACAATATAGATGTACAGTCTGCATTTACAGGTATTCAACTCCCATGAAAGCCAAGTACATTAAAAAAGCCTGATGTCAAAGAACAATAACTTTAAATGCCAATACACTAAGTGCATCTAGATGTCTGTACATTGTAAAATAAACGTCAAGTCAATGTGTGAGCTGACTAAGAGCTGTGAGACTGTATGTTTCAGCACTGTGGTTTGACTGCTGTGCTCATGTCCTGTTTAGAGCCACGAGTGAAATGTCAGGAACGTCTCGCTGAGAAGACCATGATGCAATGGCTTGTAAGAGAGGCTGAACTGTCCTTCCCACCAGCGCTGACATCACTGAGTCCAGAATAATGTGAGGAGTGAGAAGAGACTGCTTGTGCTTCTTAATCTCAGCGTTGCTTAAAGCAGCAACTGCTCTTTTTCTGGGTGGGTCAGTTTTACAAAGCTGAGTCGATTTAGACAAATTTGTGACTGTGACTAATCTCAATGTCTAAATGGAAATCTTAAAAGTGGCTGACGAACCACCAGAATAGCATGAAAAATCACCTTTACAAGCAATCTAAACAGCCAAATAAACTGTTTTCAAAATGCAGATAAAGCAACAAAAACAAAAAAAACTGCAAACATCCAAGCCATGTGCTTGCCACTACATTATGCTCAGTGCATAAAACTTACTGAACATGAGCTAATTCAGACACTAATTTAGGGCAGCACAATGTTTCGTTTCAGCATTGAAATCGTAATGTGATCTTTTGCAACAGTCACATCGCAACTATACACAGTGTTGAGTCTGGATTATTATGATTTATCATTTTGCAAATGTTTTTAAGGCCTGTGACTTTGTGGGGGTTGTAAATACATTAAGGTACAATAAACTGTAATGTTTGTAACTTTGACAAATAAATATTTATTGATTTTAATGGACTGTTCATAAAACGAAGAATATGCAGTATTATTTTATATTTGATTACTCAATTGCAGTAGATCGGAATACAGTTCGACGACTCAGAAAACAATACAATTCTGTTTATTTATTTGTATCTTTTTCTCCATCGAATTTATCTTTGCCTGTTTCTTCCATTTTATGCTTATGCACTCTCCTACAGAACCATCCCAATTAAACTAAAATGAGAAATTCTTTCCAAATAGTTATTCAACAAATCTAGTGAAATTGTATTCTCATGGCAATATATAATCGCAGGATGATTTTTTCTATTAGACACATAACTGAGGGCCAATAAGCATGCACAGCTTGAAGTCATAATAAATATAACTCAATATTTTAAACATGTTTTCTCAAATTAAATCGAACTAATGTAATTTAGCCCATGCAAATGTATAGCTGTCTGATAGCAAGACAACCGCTTGCTTGACCACACTTAAATGGGTTTCTTACGTATAGGACATGTGGATGTAAACTACAAATTGGAAATATTGCAAGAAAAATTACTACACACTTCAAGGTAGGGTCTACGACATTGAAAATTTGACATTGTGATATTTTTTCTCTCTCTCTGCGATATACATTGCAATACAAACACAATTTCACCAGATGACTTGAGAGGCTCTATTTAGAAAATCTTTCATTTTGATTGACTGGGATGATTGACGGGAGTGAACTATGTATATTCATTAATTCATTCATTCATTCACTTTCTTTTAGGCTTAGTCCCTTTATTAATCTGGGGTCGCCACAAGGGGATGGAACTGCCAACTTTACCAGCATTTGTTTTGTTGAAACATCCATACACACTTATTCACACACATACACTATGTGTTGCTGTGAGGCGATCATGCTACCTACCTACTGAAACGATATATTGTGGAGCCCTACTTAAAGGTATAATTTTCTTTCTTTTTAGATATAGTGACTGCAGTTGACAAATAAGTGTTTAATCTAAACCATGGAAGACTTCCAATATTGTTCCTTGTAGCAAAAACTTATTTGTACATGCCAGTTTCACACAGCCAATACTAAACATTCTCTCCCCATGCTCATATTATTAGAAAACATTTCTATGAGCCTAACATGAGACACAGAAGAAATCAAAAGAAATAAAAAAATATATAACAGTAGTTTTTTAATGCATTTCACACAAAAAGCAGCATATGTACATAAATATATGCAACCAAACACACATTAGTGCTTCCAAATAAAACCACTGGGCTCTAGATTCCATACAGAAGTTAAAAACAATACCACTGCCAAACCACTTC